GTTTTCCCCCCCCCCCCCCTTCTTTTTTCTAATAGAAAAAACAAAAATCACTTTTGTATATTGCTTAGGAACTACGCCAACTTTATTTTTGTAGAAGGAATATGTAGGCAATCCTCATTGAATTCAATGGTCTTTTGTAATTGAACTACATTTTGGCCTAATTCCATTGGGATACGTAGGCTACCTGAGTCAGGATCGGTTAGTTTCATCATATTTTATCATAAACCACTAACTACGTTCAGACTTGATTCCATTTTGGATACATAGGAAACCTGAAAGGGTTTGGTCATAACCTTAAGAGAACCTTTGTAATGCATTAGATTGAATTAGTACACAGTCGTAATGGCAAGCAGCCGCGTTGTTAGAAGCATTATGAAAGATCAACATCAACATGATAAATTTTCAAGAAGAAACATTTGTTTGTGTAGAACCTTTCGAAACATGTCATAGTCCGGAACGACGGCATTTGCCTTAAAAACAAAGTATTTTCCAACAAAACACTAATATGTTCCACCTAACGAACTTCGCGGTGCAACCATGACAAAGACCGGGGCAAACCAACACTGTGGATAGCACAAACCAACTTCCCTACCCATACTAAGAGTTTTTCTTTGAGTGCAGGGTCAAGTGGGAGCAAGGAAGCACTAAGACCACACTGAGGCAAATGACGGAGTAGCCACTTGCCTATGATTATCTCTCTCTCTCTTCTATTTGAATTTTTCTAGTACAACTAAGGCTAATGTTTTAATCCTTTGCAGGTAACTCGGAGTCAGACCGCTGATATGGGAAACCATGTACATAGCAAACGGCCTGCTCAACTAATCGGAGCACCCTATACAAAATAAGTTGTCGGCTTCACCAATTGAAGTCCTGTATATAGCAAACCGTCAACTCAATCAATGAAAGTGACCGTACAAATCAAACATCGGATTTGCCAATTGGAGCCTTATATATAGAAAATTGCAAACCCCGACAACAAATGCAATTCGCATCACTGCTCTGTCACAATGGATGCTAGTATATATAGTCGCAAATCTCGTCACCCACATTCTGCCAATCAATGTGTCACGACCAAAACCGATGGGCCACTACGGGTGCTTGAGTCCTACCTGTCAAACACCCCTAAGCATGTGTCTAGGATATGAACTTGTATAACATCTGCTGAATTACGAAAATAACATACAAGAAGAAAACCTGCCTTCAAGACATATGTACGTATACAGGCAGAATATAGAGGGTGAGCCGGCAAGGCTGCAATAGACAACTATACATCCAAAACTGAAAGCCGATAAGGACACATACAACCCAACTAGACATACTATCTACAGACCTCTAATAGAAACATAACTGTAC